ACTTGTATTCGACTTGGGTTCACTCAAAAGAGCAGAAAACCTTGATGGGTTAGTTCTGAAATCAATGGTGTTTATGTAAAGGTACGTTTTGAGCTTCTGTGCACTTTGGTTTTCCTTTTTTTTTTTTTTTTTTTTTTTTTACAGTTTATGAACACAATTCCCATGTAAAATTCTTGGGTTTCTGTAAATTTTTTGAAATTTGAACTTGCAAAGCTCAAAGCAAACAAAGAACAAAAAGAAGCTCGATCTCTGGTGGTACTACTGCATACTTTGCTTTTTGCACAATAAAATAACTCCCTTTTTTACCATATAAACACGATATTCAAAGCCTGCAAAAGCTCAAATTTCTCAGAGTCTCCTCTCTGCTTTTTCTCGACAATTTTCTCGGAATCTGATTTATTTTTCTTTGTTTTCGCTTTACATTCTGTCTTTTGTATTTTTAACTTGATTTTTCCCTCTATATTTTGCCAGAAGTATGAAAAGATAGAAACTTTCCAGAAACAGCTCGTTATTTGAAGGGTTTGGGATTTTGGTGAGAGGGTAGTGAGGGAAATGGCGGGTCTTGGCGTTTTGTATTGGATTTTTCTTTTGGGTTTGATTTTCTTGCAAGGAAATGCAGACCCAGTTGAGGATAAGCAGGCATTGCTCGATTTCTTGAACAATTTGCCTCACTCTCGCACTCTGAATTGGAATGAGAGCGGTCCTGTGTGTGACCACTGGACTGGAGTGACTTGTAGTGAGGATAAGTCTCATGTGATAGCCGTCCGATTGCCCGGCATTGGCTTTACCGGCCAGATTCCGGCCGACACGCTTAGCCGCCTCTCGAGGCTGCAGATTTTGAGTCTTCGATCCAATGTGATTAGTGGGGAGTTCCCTTCTGATTTTTCTAATCTGAAGAACTTGTCTTTTCTGTTTCTTCAGTTCAACAACTTCTCTGGGCCATTACCCTTGGACTTCTCAGTTTGGAAGAACCTCACCATTGTCAATCTGTCTAACAATCACTTCAATGGGAGCATTCCTTTTTCACTCTCGAATTTGACTCAGCTTTGGGGATTGGATCTTGCAAACAACTCGCTTTCGGGTGAAATCCCTGATCTTCAATCGCGTAAATTGCGGCAGCTTAACTTATCTAACAACAAGCTGAATGGTAGTGTCCCCGAATCACTTCAGAGGTTTCCGAGGTCGGCGTTATTGGTAACAACATTTCTTTTGCAAGTTTTCCACCTGAGTATCCTCCTGTTCTTCCGCCCGCCCCTAAACCATATCCGAAATCTAAGAATGGTGGGAAGCTTGGGGAGACAGCACTGCTGGGAATTATAATTGCTGGTGCTGTTTTAGGCATTGTAGCGTTTGCATTTCTGATACTTGTTTTCTGCTCAAGAAGAAGGAAAGAAGATGGGCTTTCTGGAAAGTTGTCCAAGGGGGGAATGTCACCAGAAAAGGTGATCTCACGGAGTCAAGATGCGAACAATAAACTGGTTTTCTTTGAGGGCTGCCACTACGCATTTGATCTGGAAGATTTATTGAGGGCTTCAGCTGAGGTGCTTGGAAAGGGGACATTTGGTACAGCGTATAAGGCGATACTAGAAGATGCAACCTGTGTGGTGGTGAAGCGGTTGAAGGATGTAAATGTTGGAAAGCGGGACTTTGAGCAACATATGGAGGTTGTCGGCAATATTAGGCATGAAAATGTGGTGGAATTGAAGGCGTATTATTATTCCAAAGATGAGAAGCTGATGGTATATGATTACTACAATCAAGGGAGTGTCTCTGCTTTATTACACGGTAACTTACTGTCTTCCATATTTCATATTTGATAAATGTTAGCCTGGTCACGCTGGTAATCTTTCTGTTGAAAAGTGTTGAATGTAAATAGCTGATTGTTGTACCTCTTTCTTTTGAAGTTAATACCCTTGATATCCTGTATGCTATAGATGTTATCTTTCTATAAGTACTCAGCAGCATCTAACACTGGTGGAATAACTTGTATTCAATCATTATAATATGTTGGAACTGTACTACTAGGTATGTGATAGATCCATTTGGAACTAGCCCGAAACCTAGATGAATACTATGAGTCTTCGCTTCAACTCACTGTTTTTAACTGGTCTTCGGTCGTCAAATATTAGAATATGTCTTGGTTTTCTGGATGTATATAGGGTCAAAACTTGTTAAAAGATATTCTGCTGGTACATGGTGTAGACTTTGGATTATTCAGTTAACTCCTTGCCGAGTAACACTTTTACTATTCCTGTGGCTTAGAATTGTTTAATGCTTGAATTTTGAGGTTTAGAAGCTAACCTTGTTTTAATCAATAAAACAATAATGACCCTTTTTCAGTCTAGTAATACTATATGGTTCATACCAACACTGTGTGAAGTTTGGTGGTACATCACTTGCTGCTTCACTAGTCAAGAGAAAGTAGCTTCATAGAGTCTGAGTGCGTTCACTGGTGTTACTTTGCCTTAAACCTTTGTAAGGCTTCAACATTTCTTTGACCAAGAAATATAAGTTTTGAAACTAGGATAATCCATGGTTAATTTTGGACATCGGGGAGTAAATATCTGTCTGAAAAGCTTCTTTGGGTAAAAGTTCCTCTGGTTCTTCCATTCTAGAGTTCTTTGTTTGTAAACCATGAGGTGCGTTGGAAGTATTCGTTCCGTCAAGGTAGGGACATGCAAATACTGTATTTTACACATCATGCGCTATTCTTTGGTGCACCCTAGTTTTATCTTGATCAAGCCTTCAAACCCCCAAAAGTTGTGCGCTAAAGATAACAAAGTTGTGGCTGGTAATTGGGAGGAACTCAATTTTATTGATGAAAATATGTTGTTGTTCTCGGCATTGACATCTTTTGGTATGACAATATTTGGTTGGTGGCATGCTTGGCATTCTTACTCCATTGTCTATGCTGCACGCATCATCCCTGTAGTAGCGACTAATATGTATCCTGCAATATTCTTTCCATTTTCAGGTAGAAGAGGAGAGGGCAGAAATCCTTTAGATTGGGATACCCGACTGAGAATAGCAATTGGAGCTGCAAGAGGAATTGCTCATATTCATACAGAGAATGGTGGGAAGCTTGTCCACGGAAACGTCAAAGCGTCAAACATCTTTGTAAACATGCAACAGTATGGTTGTGTTTCTGATGTTGGTCTGGCAACTATAACGAGCTCATTGGCCCCACCAATCTCCCGTGCTGCTGGTTACCGAGCTCCAGAAGTGACAGACACTAGGAAATCAGGACAACCTGCTGATGTCTACAGCTTTGGGGTTGTGTTACTGGAACTCCTCACTGGAAAATCCCCAATCCATACTACTGCTGGCGATGAGATCATCCATTTGGTCAGGTGGGTTCATTCAGTTGTCCGAGAGGAGTGGACAGCGGAAGTGTTTGACTTAGAGCTGATGAGGTATCTATACATAGAGGAGGAAATGGTGGAGATGTTACAGATAGCCATGTCTTGTGTTGCAAGGATGCCTGATCAACGACCTAAAATGCTGGATGTAGCGAAGATGATAGAAAACGTCCGCCGGGCTGATAATGACAATCGAACATCGTCTGAAAACAGATCCGAGAGCTCAACACCAGCGCCGGTGGTTAGAGCAGAAAATCCAACTTCGCAATGAGCGAGCGCCACTTGCCATTTTTCCCTTCTGGTGTAATTTCATTTCATCTCAAATGCTTTTGGTCCAGTTAGTGAACAAATATGTGGTAATTTTTATTTTCTTTATCAAGTTGATCCCATTTAGGTAGAAAGTTAGGTCATTGTCAATGTAGTAGTGGCTGTTGATTCTCACAATGGCATTGCAAATTATGCTTTGTTTGTTCGAAGTTTCATCTCTCTCTCTCTCTCTCTCTCTCTACAAAGTTTTTCACTTTTCAGGGCTGCAAGTTAAGTTTGATGCTGATTTCTACGTGGCCAAAGTTCATCAGAGTGTGAAGAATATTGGAGGGAGAAGTCAAAATTTCAAGGTGAGTTGCGGAGAGATTCGAAAGTAATGGTGGGGAAAAGCACTCTCCCTGAATTCTTTTCGGTGTGCCTTGACCTCAGTGGAGGATGACTTCCGTGATTCGAAATATCAATCTGACATGGAAGTTGCTCTCGCTTTAATGATTGAATATATACTGGTGAGAAGAAATCAAAATTTGTTATGTTATTCAGTAAATACCTTTTGCATTGATGCTTTCCCAAGTGAGAAGAAGAGAACTTCGAAATTCTCCCTACATAGAAAGTTTATACTCATGAATCTAATACGTAAATCAAATTCTACACATATCACGGCTAACTTTTCTAACCATTTTTCAACCATGGAGTAACAATTACAGTAAAATCTCTCTAAAGTAATAAACTTCACATTAATACGTTATAATTTTCTTGAAGAAACACGCCTCTACATGGTTATAAATGTTGCTTCCAGTTGGAGTTTGATGTTTTCTTCTTGCACAACTCAACACGAATATGTCTGCTTAACTGATTTTTCATAATCACCTTAGCTGATTTGAAGGTGACAAAAAGGAAAGGCATTCAACACCCTTTATACACAATAGGGCCTTGGGCATCAAGGAACGCCGCCTTAAAGTACAAGTAAAGAAAGTACATATGTGCAAGAAATAAAATACTTGGCGCCCATGGAATTCTAATTAGGAAATACAATATTCATTAAGGATAAATAAGTCAATAAATAATATTTTTTAACTACAAATCTATCAACTTTATGACTTTATAGAGGTTTTATTGAACAATGTAAATATACAAGGAAATTCTGAAAAATAACTTAAAGCGATGTGTTTTTTTTCAAAATGCACTTCAAATACTTTTAGAACCAAAAAATATTCACTCATTTTAAAAACACTTCTAAACATACTCTATATCGATAAGCAAGATATAACTGCTACTTAAATTCAAATACATCCCTTGAAAAAAAAATTCAAATATCATGAAAAGACTAAGGGTGCGTTTGGTACGTGGGATGGGACGGAACAGAGTGGGACGGACGCGTTCCGTCCCACGTTTGGTGCGCTAAAATTATGTGGAACCCCTGTTCCACGGAACGAAAATGTGTTAGATTTTGGTTCCACCTCCCACACCTGGAACGGGTTTTTCCATCCCGTGGAACACAAATTCATAACATTTTAAGACAAAAATACCCCTTCTCTTTTTCAATATTTACATCATCCAAAAAACAAACCCTAAAATTCTATCTTCTTCGTTCCATCTTCTCTGCCTGCCGCTGCCTTTTCCCGTAGCCCTCCTCCTCATCCTCTCCCGTAGCAGCTGCATATCCAGGTTCGATCTTGATCTTCTCCCGTAGCCGCTGCATCTCCATGTTCAATCTCAATCTTCTCCCGTAGCTCCAGGTTTGATCTTGATCTTCTCCCGTAGCCGCTGCATCTCGAGGTTTAATCTCGGTCTTCTCCCGTAGCCGCTGCATCTCCAGGTTCGTTTTCTTGATTTTTCCATGGAAATTTTCAATTTTTTGGGAAAATATGATGATTTTGAGAAAAGAAGTTAGTTTTCTTGGTTTCTCTGGTTTAACTTGTGCTTGGGAAAAAGAACAAAGTCTGATTTTTAAGGTTTATTACGATTCTGGTTTGTAAAGAATTGGATCTGGTTCCGAGCTGTGCAATTTAGTGGGTTCGGTTGTGAGCTTGGCTTTGTATGATGGAAAAAGCTGGTTCTTTCTGCATTTGGTCAGCTGAAATGTTAATCAGTTTGATGCATTTTAATGGTTATTTTACTGATTATTGGTCAGTGTGTATAATTGAGTTTTGATACATTTGCGTTTTGACCCAAATTGTGTTTTATGAAAGAAGAGATGCTTTGGGGTCGTAAAATTAGTGCAGAATCATCGTTTGTGAAGTGTTTGAGCTAAATTCTTATGGCATTTTTAGGGGTTTTGGCAAATTCCATAATTTGTTTCACAAAAATTGGGTTCGGCATAATAACCCTTTGTACTGGGAGTTAAACACACACTGAGAAGCCTTTCTTGCGTGGTGAAATCGTAAGAAAATGCGTAGGCTAGATTGGAAAATGGGTTTGAAATGTCCCTCGGTCGCTCATCCATATTGGAGAGCTGCATCACTGTGGGTTTTAGAGCATTTCTTGGGTTTTAGAGCATTTCCCTAAGACTGTAACAATTAACATAGATAGTCGAAGAGGTGTCTCTATGGGTGGAAATATTTTGGTAGGAAAAGGGGTTGAAGGGACAATGTAACGTTGCCTGCCAGGGATCTTCTTATTCCTTATTAGTATTTTCTTTTAGGGGGAAGGGAGAGATGAAATATATAGGTTTTGGCTAACGTTTTTCTTAGTTTTCTATTTGATTCTTGTTTTGCATCGTGCTTCTTTTTCTTGTTAGTTGCTGTTGTATATTGGAAGGTATGGTCATAGTATGCGAAGCAAGTTGTCCTTGTGCATCAGTGGTGTCATTATTTTTCGTTGTTAGAACTTGTTTGTTGGCAATCAGTTGCCAAATTATCGGATATCTTTTTTGTTGTAAAATCATGTCCTTTGTCCAACTTCTTTTCCTCCCCCAGCCTAGTGATTTATTTTCTTGTTGCATACTTTATCCCACTTTATATTCATTGTTGGACGCTTTTGATTTTCCATGTTTAGCATCTTTAGCAGCTGCGATTCTTCATAAGGCCAAAGCTGCTAAAGATGGAATTGAATGATAATGCTTTTTCATTATTTAGGATGTACAAAACATGTGAGACGTGATAGACACGATAATGCTCTGTGGCTGATTACTTGGTGCTTTTCTTTTGTAAAAGTTGCCCTTGTCTTTAACCATGTCAGACATCATGTAAGTTTGTAACTGCTTTGCTAGGAGGGAAGCATGCATGGGGTTTAGGAAAAACTATGTGAAAGATTGTGACTTGCAAGCAGTTTTACTAGTGTGTGTGATTGTAAAAGATGGTCTGTTGAAGTTTATTTGGTGTTCTCATATGCTTATCTCTCCTCCTTGTATACGGGAGTTCTATCATGTTGAATGAATTACCATTTGAAAAAAAAAAAAAAACATGATTTGGAATTATCACAAGATTGGTCATTCATGGCTTGCTGATAAATTTGTGTACTTTTTCTATTTTATTATTACTTACCAATGCTCTTTGCTTTTTGTTTTCTAGGTCTCCATGTATGTTGTTGCAGCATATTAGATTATCTTCAAGATCCAGTCTTGTCCCAAATAGCCTTTTATTAGATGAATACTCAAGAAACATAAAGTTATTGCTTCAGGCCATGGGTCTGTTGACTGATATGTACACATCAGTATGGCTCTACAGACACATCAGCATGAAGGTTACACATTAGCAAGGCACACATCACCAAGGCACACATCAGCGAGGCAGTTAGCTTGTTGAGATTGTAGGAAGGCTGTTAGTCTGTTGGGATTTGTAGGGATAAGAAAGTTGGTTAGTAGCTTATGAGTGAAGCAAAGAATACTTGTATAAATAACGAACACCTCTCTCTGGAATTCCTTCATTGTTCAAGGAATACAATCTTTAGTCATTCACTTTCTCTCTCTAAATTCTTTGCCATTGTTTTTCGTTTTGCTTCTTCTGCCATGTCTTCAGTCAAGAAATGGCATAACATATATTATCGCGTAACATATCTTTAGCCATGTGCTACTGTAAAAAATATATCATAGATAAGCATATGTGTTCAAATATGAACAAGTTCAAAAAAAAAAAAAAAAAATTGTCTCGTTCTGTCCCACGTATAAGCATTGTACCAAACAACAAACGGAACAGGGGTAAGTTAGTCATTTAATCTTGTTGATGCACAAAACCGGAGGTCTTGGAACAACGTAAATCCGGTCGTGAATCTGCAAGTAATGTAAATGACACAAGATGTATCGTGGTTCACCCCAATGTTTGGGCTACGTCCACACTGATTGTATTGTATTTCTCTGAGAAGTGAGGGAGAGAGTGTGAGAGCTTTGCTCTAGCCAGGAGTGACTTAAGGTTTGTAAGGGTGATGAGTCCCTTTTATAGAATAAGGGCTCATCCCCTAATTACATATTTGCCCCTTCATTTATTACATAATTACATTTAAGTCCCCCGAGTATTTATACGAGGTCTAAATACGAGGCCCTAAATATGGTATAAACAGTAGTCCCCCAAGTCTTCAGTCAAGAGAGTCTTTTGGCTGGAGACTTGAAATTCAGTCCATGTGTGGGCCGAAGTAACTAGATGTTGTCTTGAACTGATGCTCGATATGAGGTAATGCTCAATCTGAAATGACGCTAAACTAGAAGTAGCACACGCTGCGAGACTGCTCGGCTCGTGGCTTATGTTGCCTTGGTTGGCTCGGCTTGCGGCATTTGAAGGTAAGGGAGTCCCTTTTATAGAATAAGGGCTCGCTCCTCAATACATGAATGATGGGCTAGAGTTGATGCTCCCTAATGATGGTGAGGGAGTCCCTTTTATAGAATAAGGGCTCGTTCCTCAATACATAAATGATGGGCTACAGTTGATGCTCGCGGCGAGGCGGTTGCTCAGTAGGCGGCGATGCTCTCTAATGATGGTGAGGGAGTCCCTTTTATAGAATAAGGGCTCGCTCCTCAATACATAAGTGATGGGTTAGGAATGATGCTCGCGGTGAAGCGGTTGCTCAGCTGGCGGCGTTGTTCTCTAATGTTGGTGAGGGAGTTCCTTTTATAGAATAAGGGTTCGATCCTCAATACATAAACAATGGGTGCTCTCTAATGAAAGTGAGGGAGTCCCTTTTATAGAATAAGGGCTCGCTCCTCAATACATAAGTAATGGGCTAAGTCCCCCAAGTATTTTGTATTTTTCATGAGGCCCAGTTGAGGCCCAATATATGGTACATAATGTAGTCCCCCAAGTCTTCGGTCAATAGAGTCTGCTGGCTGGAGACTTTAAATTGAATCCATGTATGGGCCGAAGTGGTGGTTGGTCAGAGGCGGTATTTGTATACCCTGCACTGAAGCTTTGTAGGTGAAGTTTGCAAGTGAAGCTTTGTAGCTAGAGCTCTGTAAATGAAGCTTTCGAAGCTGGAGTTTTTGTAAATGAAGCTTTTGGAGCTAGAGCTCTGTAAATGAATCTTTTGAAGCTGTTTGACATGAGTGATGCTCATGAATGTTTATGTTGATTGACATGAGTGATGCTCATGTATGTTGTCATGAGTGATGCTCATGAATGTTTATGTATGAATGACATGAGTAATGCTCATGTATGATTTGAAGTACTGGAAGTACTTTTGATCACCTGGTTGTTGGCATGAAGGAGAGTACGGGTTGTACATTTCATCACCTGGTTGGTGGCATGAATAGCTCGTTGCCAAATGATATTAGAGTACGGGTTGTACATTTCATCACCTGGTTGGTGGCATGAATGGCTAGTTGGCATGAATGGCTAGTTGCCAAATGATATTAGAGTACGGGTTGTACATTTCATCACCTGGTTGGTGGTAATAGCGACAGGTTGCCGAATAATTTTTGGAGTACTAGGCGTACTTTTGGTCATCTGGTTGGTGATAATAGCGGCGGGTTGCCGAATAATTTTAGAAGTACTGGGCGTACTTTTGATCACCTGGTTGGTGGTAATAGCGGCAGGTTGCCGAATAATTGTGGAGTACGGGGCGTACTTTTGATCACCTGGTTGGTGCTATTTTGGGCTTATGGGCCTTCGGCCTTTACACAACATTCCAGCCCATTTATTTTGGGCTTTTTTTTTTTTTTTTTTTTTTTTTTTTTTTTTTTTTTGTGACTGGGTATGATACCGGAGATACAGATGGTGATAACAATACATATACCAGCAAAAAATAAAAATAATGTCTGCGGTGCCCGCGTATGCATGCATATCTTCGCTTTCTCCACTTTCTCTTCTTTTGTGCTGTTCACTCTCTTTGTGCTTTTAAAGATACATCACAGACGACCCATCATCACACTTCCACTTTTCTAACAGTGATGCCCTCTTTCTTTTTCCTCTTCCTTTATGGTAAGGCAGAATAAGTGGAATCCTGAGTAATGAACCCATCCACTGGTTTTTTGGGTCAGGCACGGGAGGCCCACTTCCACACTAATATTTGCAGAATAAGTATAATAATAAAAATTATTTAAACTATCTTGCTTTAAGAAAATGTGGCCAGCATCTTGTAATAAAAGAAGACTTATCTTCTGTGGTTTGGAGAGTGGGATTGTGGGCTGGCAGATAGTGGGATAGTGTCTAACAAGCAAAGTTGATGCCGTTGATGCTTTGTTGGTGCTGCCAAGTTGATGCTCTGTCGGTATTTCATGAGCCCACAATTGCAAGAAAACTCTGCTTTCAGTTTGAAGGTAAGGGAAACCATTGCAAGTAACTCCTTGTAGTTGTAACAAAATGATGACGTAAAGGGCTTGGCGGAGATGGTAGAGGAGTGTGAGTGATCATCGGGGATGACGACGTAATTGGCCAAAACGACGACGTTATTCTGGATTTCTTCCGAGACACACTTCGTGCTGAAGGAAGGTAAGGTGACCCAGATGGCTTGACCAGTCCGTGCCCAGCACAGGACCAACAAGATGGTGGTAGCAACCGCACTCTAACCCTAACTCCTCATCGTCATCATCGTAACTCCTCTACTTTCTCTCTCCACTGCTTCTGTCGATGCAGATTTCTGCATCCACATGCAATACATCCTCGGTGGGACCGCCTCCAGCTCGTCCACTTCGGACGATGACGATGACGGAACTGGAAGGAAGAAATCAGAGATGGTGGCTGCTTCACCCACTGGTTCTGAAATTCATCTCCTCTCTCTCCTTTCTCCTCAAACCCATTTAATGGGTTGCTTTGCCCACTGGTTCTCAAGAATTCTGACACCAGACATTGGAATCAAGCAGTGATGTACAACTGTTGTCATGCTCTTTTGGTTAATGAGAGTCCATAGCCTCGAACGCCTAAGGTTTGAGAACTGCAATTTATCACGGAGCTGTAATTTCATATTCAAGAAAACCCCAAATTCCTGCTCTAGCTTGTGAAAAGTCTCTTCGAATTTTTCCTCATCGAAAAACTGCAAGATCAGGAACACAAGCTCCCTACTCAGAGAAGACATCATGATCGCCCCCCATTTGCTTTTCTTGACTGCCAGATGTTCATGGAGATACCTCTTGCGACTGTGACATGATACGCTCCATGACGAGCTGAGAGGTCTCGGAAGAAGCAAAAGAAAATGGGTTGCCAGAAAAAGTGGCGCTCTCGTTTATCTCCCCGGCAAGATCATCTGGTATAGGACCACCGCCACCGCCATTGACGGCAGAGCTGAGGTTGAGGTTTGTGAGTTGGGTCTGGTCAGGGGGTGGGGCCAAGGCTTTGGAGACTTCGAGAGCTGAGACACTCCAAGAGCAGGAGATGAGCTCCATGGGCTCACGAGGAGTCTCCGGTGGCTGGAACACGGCGGCCTGTACCGGGTCCATTTAACGTGACGTGGGTGGTAGTAAATGAACCGGCTTGGAGGAAAGGGAGTGGAATTGGATGTTGTTGTTGCCACTGCCATTTCAACATTTGCTATCGAGTGAAAAGTGGAGGCTGTGCAATTGCCGAGAGAGAGAGAGATCTGGTCTTGATGCATGCTGAGAGATCTCGATCTTTACATAAATCACAGAGAGATCTGGCTCTTGATGTTTACAAAGGACCAAAATCGAATGATGAGAGAGAGAGAGAGAGAGAGAGAGATGAGTGATTTTGAGATCTGGATCTTTTCTGTTTCTGGGTTTTTGCAAATTTTTGCAGATTCACGATGGAGATGAAAAATGAAAGAGAACTGACACAACTTTTCGTATCGATTCCCACAGACGGCGCCAAATGTTGATGCACAAAACCGGAGGTCTTGGAACAACGTAAATCCGGTCGTGAATCTGCAAGTAATGTAAATGACACAAGATGTATCGTGGTTCACCCCAATGTTTGGGCCACGTCCACACTGATTGTATTGTATTTCTCTGAGAAGTGAGGGAGAGAGTGTGAGAGCTTTGCTCTAGCCAGGAGTGACTTAAGGTTTGTAAGGGTGAGGAGTCCCTTTTATAGAATAAGGGCTCATCCCCTAATTACATATTTGCCCCTTCATTTATTACATAATTACATTTAAGTCCCCCGAGTATTTATACGAGGTCTAAATACGAGGCCCTAAATATGGTATAAACAAATCTTTTTGTTCCATTCCGTCCAGCGCGTACCAAACGCAGAACGGAACAACCGTCCCGTTCCGTCCTACGCGTACCAAACATAACACGGAACCTCCGTTCTGTCCCGTCCTGTCCCGTCCCGTCCCGTCCCATTCCGTTCCGTCCCGTCCCGTCTACGTATCAAACGGTACCTAAAAGAACAAATGACTGGTTATAATAAAGCATAAGGCTTTAATACAATGACAATTTTTTATTAAACAAAACCATAAGGTATAAAGTTTTGAATCTCAAATTAATATTTTTAAAATTTTGATATCTGATAGGAACTGTTATTAGCATTCCAAATGTATTTTTCTTTATAATTATAAAACATTTAAAAAATAAAATAAAAATTTTAAAATATCAATAATAATTCTCTATATGATATGCAGAAAAATTTCTTTGGTACAAAATACAAATAATGTCAATAGGATGGCACACTTTGATTGAAGTGATTCGTTAAGGAAATGACACAAATGCCCCTTTCCTCCTTCCCTAGGTATAATATATAAAACTGATTTTGAGTGGTGGTTCAAAGAGCTACCTACCTTCTCAATAAACTCAAAAGACCTTAAAACCAAAAGAAAGCATAAAATCAAAATCAGTAATAAAGCAGGAGGCTCTCTCAGGTCAAGGTAACCCTCTCTCTCCTCTCTCTCTAGATGATTTTGCCGAAATTTAATTTGGTCATTTTTCACTGAGGTGATTTTATGATCTAGGGTTTGTTTGTTTGGTTGAATTTTTGTTTGTCAAGGTGATGGCGTCGAAACGGATCCTGAAGGAGCTGAAGGACCTCCAGAAAGATCCTCCTACTTCGTGCAGCGCTGGTATGTCTAGTTCTGAATCCGATCTGATTCCTTCTGATGTTGCTTTTGGTTTGTGTATGCTGATAAAGTTTTAATTTTGTGTTTTGGGTAGATTTCGGCATCTGATTTGACCTTCGATTGATGCTTGCTTTTGAAATTCTGATTTTTTTTTTTAAACCCAAACCAGTAAATCTGTGTAAAAGCAGCAGTCTTGCTCTTGACAGACTTTGATCATTTTATCTCATGCAATTTTGTATTTGTCGAAAATTGAATGAAACTGTATTTGTTTTCGAAAGTTGGTCATCTGAATTGCATGGCTAAGAACTATTTGAGAAGAGGTATATGATAGTGAAGGTGCTATTGTGTGGTAGTTGCTACTTGCTACCCATATACCCATTTTCCTGCCCGACCCACCATACCGAATTGGGCAATAGATGACCCATCTTGCATCTTGGTTATAAATGGGTAATTTCCATTTTAACAAGGTGACAAATCTATAGCATTGGTCTGTAAGGACACACTTAACATCCAAAAGGGAAACCTTTACGGTTTTTGGGTGATCCTTATTTTGAATAACTCAGAATCACTGGGTCTTACAAGTCCACCAAGGTGCTAAAGCAGTTTTTGGTGGGAGTTTGGTTATTCTCATGCTTGTCTATGGTCGCAAAGACTGAGTCATTAGACATTAATGTTGTTAGAAAGCCTAAAGAAAGAGGGAGGTTAGGGCAATCAAAGAAGTTGGCTGGTAATTTGAAGTTGGATTAGTGTTGAGTATTTGTTTTCTGATTGTTTTGAATATTGTTTAGGTAGAGCGGTCATTGTGTGGTTGTATAAGTTGTGGTGGGAAAAGAAGCATTCTTATTTTTTGTGGTAGGTGATTCAGTATTGTCTTGGGGTTTCTTGTTCGACTCTTTATCTCAACAGATTCCCTGAAATGGCATTACTCTGGAAATGAAGGACAAACTGCTCTATGTTTCAAATTTCCCCCTTGTGACAGTCTACTGCATGGATTAATTATAGATATTTCTTCCCGTCTGTTAGTTGGATATGTGCTATATCCATAGTGGACCTAGACCTACCCACCCTAACAATTGGTTAGGTTGGGTATGGGCGTTAGATGTAACTGGAAAGTAAACGAGAATCTATTAGTCAATCCCGCATGTGGCCCACCCTAAACCTTCCCATTTTCCTCCTAAGTGCTATTATTTAACTGAACGGACTATAAACGCATATTCGTTTACAGATATACTTTGAAGATTAACATTACCCTCTTATATATGGCTTATCTTATAAATGATAATGATTTGTTTTTTAGTTTCAAATAACTTTACTGGGTTGGTTTGTTTATGTTTATCATCAGTTGTATTACTATAATTTTTGTCATTGTTTATGTTATCCACTCAACGGCTGCAAGAGTTCATTATTTTGGGAGAATATGGACTAAGTCTCTATCATTTATAGCCACAGCAGTCTATCTACTGTGATTAACGAAACTATGTGCAAGTGTAACCCTTCACTTCTTCTAGGCTATTAGAACTCTTTTTGTATAATGTTTACATAGTGAATGGCAACTTTTGTCTGCTTTTTCAATTTTTTTGTCGTTGGAAATTTACTGAAACTATTCAATAAAAGACTAATGACATTGTTTTCAGCAGATATCCAATTTCATTGCCTTTACTCTTATGTATATTTTTAGGCCCAGTTGCAGAAGACATGTTCCACTGGCAGGCAACAATAATGGGTCCTGCTGACAGTCCTTATGCAGGTGGAGTGTTTCTTGTCACTATCCATTTTCCTCCAGACTATCCTTTTAAGCCACCAAAGGTACTTGCTGGCTTTCTTTTAATTTCACATCATATTGGTGCACAAGTTCCTTTCTGTATTGCTCTGCTGATTTCATAATTGAATCAGAATCCTTAGTATCTTGATGTCAAGGAGTTGAGTACCTCATCTGGCCTAAAAAGTGGGAAAGACGTCAATCATATTCTTATGCTATCTTTCTCGCACATATGATGACCAATTGAATAGGCTCATGCCTGGGAAATATGACCATCATCTGAGCCACTATGCCTTGATTGATAACCAATTGATGAATGACGCCTAATGTATCTCATGGAATTGATTTCATGATACTAGAAATTGACAATTTTTCACTAGCTTATTAGTACTGAAGTAAATGGCATCCTCATTTGGAATGGTAACCTGTTTGCATTACTAGTGGCTGTTCTGTAAACGGGACTCCACATGGTTCACTAGTGGTGTTCCTGTGGTAAATTATGATGTAAACTAATTAGAAGGGCTACTTTTACAGACCTTTTAAGTCCTATGGGATATTTGGTTTAGTTTCAAAGTTCATTGGTATTAAACACACCAGCTGAAGTCCATATTGGACGTTTTAAAAGTTCCAAATTTTGATAAATGACTAGGAAACTACGAAATTTTGCATATTGGTTATTGTAAAAAAATTTTGCATATTGGTTATTGTAAAAAATACTGGTATGTTGGCTTTTCAAGATCTTTTACTTCTACTATTAGGACTTGTTAAGGATTTTGTTCAACTGTTATTTCGTTTATGTTTTTTGCTACGTGCATGTAATTCTGTGCTATTTGTTTTATGTTTTTGCAGGTTGCATTCAGGACAAAGGTGTTTCACCCTAATATCAACAGCAACGGTAGCATTTGCCTTGACATATTGAAAGAACAGTGGAGCCCTGCCCTGACCATATCCAAGGTAAATGCTTAATACCCTAAGCAGGATTGCTTGCTTCACGAATTTGATTGTTTTACAGACACTAGTTTCCCCTACTGAGTACTACATATGACTTGAAGTGGTTACGTTTGTACAGGAAAAGCGAATCACTAATGATGAAACTTGGGGGTTTTTATATGATCCTATACCATGATTTTGGTGGACTCCCTTATTATTACAAGGCCCCTTGTGATTTATATCTTTTGATTTTAATTTGCAATTTTGTTACTTCTGAAATTTTACAAATTAAAGTATGCAAACATAAGAGCTCTATGGGAAACAAACAGCACAAGTCCTTTATCGGCCAGAATAATTTTCTTTTTCTTTTTCTTGTGACAAATCAACCAAAGAAGGAGAGTTGGATATCTATAAACTAGCTAGAGCAAGGGAAAAGAAGACAAGGGACCTAAACCAAGTGAGGTGCATCAAGGATGAGGATGGAAAGGTTCTTGCTACAGAGAACGCGGTTAAAGACAGATGGAGAGGTTATTTTCATAATCTTTTCAATGAAGGACATGAAAGGAGTGCTTCTTTAGGGGAGTTGAGTAACTCAGAAGAGTGTAGAAACTACTCTTTTTATCGTCGAATCCGGAAGGAAGAAGTGGTTGTAGCTTTGAAGAAGATGAAGCATAGAAAAGCAATAGGCCCAGACGATATACCAATCGAAGTGTGGAAAGTTTTGGGAGAGACAGGTATAACATGGCTCACTGACCTTTTCAATAGGATTTTGAAAACGAAGAAGATGCCAAATGAGTGGCGAACGAGCACTTTGGTGCCTATCTACAAGAATAAGGGCGACGTACAAAATTGCATGAACTATAGGGGTATTAAGTTAATGAGTCATACAATGAAGCTCTGGGAGAGAGTCATTGAGCATAGATTGAGGCAAGAGACACGGGTTTCGGACAACCAATTCGGGTTCATGCCAGGGCGCTCAACCATGGAGGCAATCTATCTCTTACGAAGATTGATGGAAAGATATAGAGATGGGAAAAAGGATTTACACATGGTCTTTATAGATTTGGAAAAAGCGTATGATAGGGTCCCAAGAGACATTCTTTGGAGGATCTTAGAGAAGAAAGGAGTACGAGTAGCATATATCCAAGCTATAAAGGATATGTATGAAGGAGCAAAGACTGCCGTAAGAACTCATGAAGGACAAACCGAAAGCTTTCCCATAACTGTAGGATTACATCAAGGCTCATCCTTAAGTCCTTACCTTTTTGCGTTGGTAATGGATGAGTTAACAGGACATATTCAAGATGATATTCCTTGGTGTATGCTTTTCGCAGACGATATAGTGTTGATAGATGAAACTCAGGAAGGGGGTAAATGCAAAGCTTAACCTTTGGAGAGAAGTGTTGGAATCTAAAGGTCTTCGCCTAAGCCGATCAAAGACAGAATATATGGAGTGCAAGTTCAGTGCAGATGGAGGCCAAAACGAGTTAGGGGTGAGGATCGGAGATCAAGAAATACCAAAGAGCGACCGTTTTCGTTACCTAGGATCTATCTTGCAAAAGAACGGAGAATTAGATGGAGATCTCAACCATAGAATACAAGCTGGATGGATGAAGTGGAAGAGTGCATCTGGCGTGTTGTGTGACCGCCGTATGCCACTGAAGCTCAAGGGAAAATTTTTATAGGACGGCAATAAGGCCGGCGATGCTGTATGGCACAGAATGTTGGGCGGTGAAGCATCAACACGTACACAAAATGGGTGTAGCGGAGATGAGGATGCTTCGTTGGATGTGTGGGCACACGAGAAAGGATAAGATTAGGAATGAGGATATCCGGGGTAAAGTAGGAGTAGCCGAAATTGAAGGAAAGATGAGAGAAAATCGGTTACGGTGGTTTGGACATGTGCAAAGAAGGCCTACTGACGCTCCGATTAGAAGATGCGACTATGGGACAGAGGTTCAGGGCCGAAGGGGTAGAGGGAAGACCTAGGAAAACTTTGGAAGAGACTCTAAGAAAAGACTTAGAGTACTTGGATCTAACGAAGGACATGACACAGGACCGAGCACAATGGCGTTCTAAGATTCATATAGCCGATCCCACTCAGTGACTTAGATTTTCCAAGTCTCCAACCGAGAAGTTTTCCTCACTCGAAAAATTAAGGGAACACTACCCCAACCTACATGCTCCACTCAGAAAGCTTCAACATACAAGCTTCAACAAAAGAAAATTCAAAGAACTTAGCGAAGAAGGCTTTGGTGTATTTAACACAATACGTTGAAATGAAGGAAAACTTATTTATTGATATCCCCGATAAGCTACAAATATGTACATATACATGAGTCAAAATAAACAAACAAGATGGAGCCTTCACAAAGGTTGCTTAGGAGAAGTCTCAGCAGTCGGTAGAGCCCCAGAAAGAGAAGGCATCGGAGGGGGATCATTCGGAGCCTCAGTACTGGACAGAACCCTAGACGGAGGAGGCATCAGAGGTTGATCATTTGGAGCTTCATTACGCGGTACAGCCCCAGAAGACGAAGGCAATAAATGCCTTTGGAACAAACCCACAAATCTCTGATGATCAAGTAAAACCTGACCATCAGTTTCCTTCATCTGGTCAAGCTTCCTCTTCATGTTTGTAGCATAGTCATGTGCGAGCCGGTGCAACTGTTTATTCTCATGCTTGAGCCCTCTAATCTCCTGTTTGAGACTCATCACTTCGGCCGCCAATGATTCAACTTGGCGGGTTCGAGCAAATAGGCGTTGGGCCATATTAGACACAGAACCTGCACACTGAACACTGAGAGCCAGTGAATCCTTAACAGCTAACTCATCAGACCGTTTGGAAAGTAGTCTGTTATCTTTGGGAGTGAGAAGGTTCCTGGCCACCCACCGCAGCGGTCATATCATTCTTCATCACGGAATCCCCAACGGTAAGAGGACCAGTAGGGGAGACGAAGGATGGGCGCCATATGTTGTCTGGAGAAGGCGGGGCTGCCTCTTCAACAAGGTTCAAGTCAAAACGACGGTCGGGAGGGCCAGACATTTTCAAAGGTATTGAAGAGAGAAGAGGTCGGACAAATCAAGATCTTAGAAGTGCAAGAATGGAGCTTCTACTGGTGGAGATACAAGTGTGCTTTGGAACTTAATGCCAGCCCCTATAAAAAGCTGCACTCGACGGAGCTTTAGACATCGAAGAGGCGCCTGCTCAGAAATCGAAGAGGCGTTTGCTTTCTCAAAAGCTGGGCTGCTTAGAGACCACGAGGGTTGATCTCATAAATCGAAGAGGGTGTTTGCTTTCTCAAAAGTTGGGCTGCTCAAAGACCACGAAAGCCGATCTCAGAAATCGAAGAGGCGCTCGCTTCCTCAAAAGCTGGGCTCCTCAGAGACCACGAGGGCCGATCTTAGAAATCGAAGAGGCACCTACTTTTCCAGCCTTGTCAGCACCTGTCACACGCACACTCAGCTTTGCGGAAATTATGGGTATTCTGTCGAAGACTTCTGGGGAAGTAGAAAACACATGAATCTTACTGTCCAATCACCCACTTCCCACACGCAGCAATAGCTCATGGGTACCACAGATAACTTTGCCAAAGTTCTCTGCCAAAGTTGAGCACGTGAAGCTTGCAGCTCCCACTACATCGCTCTGACCAAGAAGGGTAAAAGAATAGCAAAGAAACAGCACTAACAAAGTTTAGACCCATAAATTTTGAAGGTCTAGCTACCATATTATTACCCACAAGGGTAAAGGAACAGTACCACTGTTGGATAATTGGAAAGTCCCTGTGTGTCAACCTCCGTGCTTCGTGGCAAGGTAGACTAGCAAACATGCCCAACCTTTACTCACATTCGAGAAAACACTCCCAATAAGATTGCTTGCTCCAAAATCGAAGAGGCACCGTCCTCCGAATCTCGAGAGCCAGACTCCCAACATGACTACTTTCTCAAAAATCGAAGAGAAGGTAAAGGAACAGTACCATTGCTGGATAATTGGAAAGTCCCTGTGTGTCAACCTCTGTGCTTCGTGGCAAGGTAGACTAGCAAACATGCCCAACCTTTACTCACATTCGAGAAAAAACACTCCCAACAAGATTGCTTGCTCCAAAATCGAAGAGGCACCGCCCTCCGAATCTCGAGAGCCAGACTCCCAACATGATTACTTTCTCAAAAATCGAAGAGACACTGCTCCCCGAATCTCGAGAGCCAGACCCCCAGCATGATTGCTTTCTCAAAAATCGAAGAGGCATCGTTCTCCGAATCAATCGAAGAGGCGCTCGCTTTCTCAAAAGCTGGGCTGCTCAGAGACCACGAGGGCCGATCTCAGAAATCGAAGAGGCACCTTCTTTTCTAGCCTTGTCAGCACCTGTCACACGCACACTCAGCTTTGCGGAAATTATGGGCATTCTGTCGAAGACTTCTGGTGAAGTAGAAAGCACAGGAATCTTACTGTTCAAATCACCCACTTCCCACACGCAACAATAGCTCATGGGTACCACAGATAACTTTGTCAAAGTCTCTGCCAAAGTTGAGCACGTGAAGCTTGCAACTCCCACTACATCGCTCTGACCAAGAAAGGTAAAAGAATAGCAAAGAAACAGCACTAACAAAGTTTAGACACATAAATTTTGAAGGTCTAGCTACCATATTATTACCCACAAGGGTAAAGGAACAGTACCACTGCTGGATAATTGGAAAGTCCCTGTGTGTCAACCTCCGTGCTTCGTGGCAAGGTAGACTAGCAAACATGCCCAACCTTTACTCACATCCGAGAAAACACTCCCAACAAGATTGCTTACTCCAAAATCGAAGAGGCACCGCCTTCCGAATCTCGAGAGCCAGACTCCCAACATGATTACTTTCTCAAAAATCGAAGTGACACTGCTCCCCGAATCTCGAGAGCCAGACCCCCACCATGATTGCTTTCTCAAAAATCGAAGAAGCATCGTTCTCCGAATCTCGAGAGTCAGATACCACATACCACTTTTTCAAAGTGCTCTGACAGAGTTAAAACATGTGAAGCTGGCAGCTCCCACTACCGTGCTATGACCAAGCAGGGTAAAGGAATAGCATTACTACTTGTTAGGGAGACTCCTATATATGTCGACCTCCATCCCCAACGGGACAGGCAGACCTGCAAAAATGCTCAACCCTTCCTCATATCTGAGAGGGCACTCCCAACGAAGCCTTTCGAAATATTCAGCTTTTCTTTCCCCCCGATAATACCTCTGCAAACAAGCTATACTAGAGCAAGAATATCTCATATCATCAGGGTTAAAAGCAAGAGTATCCCATATCATGCTTTTTCCCTGTCTTTTCCTTTGGCCTTGTTTTTACCTGCAAGATAAGGAGAAAGAGAGCAATCAGTCAGCACTTGAAAAATCAAGCTCCCAGCCAGGAACTGACAGCCTGGAACCCCTTACCTGATTACTTACCTGGCATTGCTCTCGAGTACTCATCTTCAACATCTTATGTTGCCAGGGAAGATACCGCATCTGCTTGAGGAACAGATAGGGCAAGTGCGAAGGATACAAGGAAGCATGTGGAGACAAGCGTAACAGCACACGTGCCGATCCATCCATTACTCTGTCAAAAGCAAAAGTATCCCATATCAGCAGGGTCGAACGTACTCTAGATTTGATGGACTTGTTTTGACCCTCAAATTCTTCAGTCGGCCTTATACTCTGGAGGAAACCAGAAAAACCCTCCAGCTCAGTTCAAGAATAAGCCTGTGGAAAGTTACTTCTTCAAAAGCAAAAGTATCCCATATCATCTCTTCTCATTTTTCTTCTCTTTATCCTTCATGCTGCTGCAAGATGGGGAGAAGGTGAACAATCAGCCGGAGCTCTGATTGCTTACCTTGTCTGTCACCTCTTTCAGCAAATCCCCTAGCTCGGCGACTTGGGGGACTCCTACTACATGGTTTGTATCGCGCTTGACCAAGCCTGAAACTACAAGTAAGCTTCAAGTGAAATTGATACATTACCTTGTGCATCTCCACCAGTTAAAGATACCACCCCTGGATGGAGGAAGAGTACTTCCAGAGAAGCTGCCACATCTACCTATGAGACAGATAAGGCAAGTCAAGATGATACCACACTCCGATACTTAGAAGTTTCGTGATTACGAGATCATTCTCCCACAATATTTCCTAATGTCATTTGTACTCTAATGTCATTTGTACTAAATCATTCACTTGTACTCACTAAAGGAGAGCTTGAACCTATGTACTTGTGTAAACCCTTCACAATTAATGAGAACTCTTCTATTCCGTGGACGTAGCCAATCTGGGTGAACCACGTACATCTTGTGTTTGCTTTCCTATCTCTATCCATTTATATACTTATCCACACTAATGACCGGAGCAATTTAGCGAAGATCACAAAAAGCGACCGTTTTCGCTACCTAGGATCTATCTTACAAGAGAACGGAGAATTAGATGGAGATCTCAACCATAGAATACGAGCTGGATGGATGAAGTGTAAGAGTGCATCCAGCATGTTGTGTGACCGTCGTAGGCCACTGAAGCTCAAGGGAAAATTTTATAAGACGGCAATAAGGCCAGCGATGTTGTATGGCACAGAATGTTGGGCGGTGAAACATCAACACGTACACAAAATGGGGGGTAGCAGAGATGAGGATGCTTCGTGGGATGTGTGGGCACACGAGAAAGGATAAGATTGAGAATGAGGATATCCGAGGTAAAGTAGGAGTAGCCGAAATTGAAGGAAAGATGAGAGAAAATCGGTTCCGGTGATTTGGACATGTGCAAAGAAGGCCGACTGACGCTCCGGTTCGAAGATGTGACTACGGGACAGAGGTTCAGGGCCGAAGGGGTAGAGGAAGACCTAGGAAAACTTTGGAAGAGACTCTAAGAAAAGGCTTAGAGTACTTGGATCTAACGGAGGACATGACACAAAACCGAGCGCAATGGCGTTCTAGGATTCATATAGCCGACCCCACTTAGTGGGAAAAGGCTTTGTTGTTGTTGTTGTTGATGCACTGTGGCTTTTGAACTGTTATGATGTTATGCACTGAACAGGAAACAATGTTCGATCAGATGTGCCATACACATTGAAACTGGTTTGGCTGGAAATTTCATATATCTGGGTATTATTATAGTTGATGCAACCATATGTCCTTTGTGTCACTGAAGCATGGGCACTGGTTTCACTTTGATGTTTCAGGTGTTGCTCTCGATCTGTTCACTGTTGACAGACCCAAACCCTGATGACCCTTTGGTCCCGGAGATCGCCCATATGTACAAGACTGACAAGAACAAGTATGAGACCACCGCAAGGAGCTGGACTCAGAAGTATGCTATGGGTTAGTCTGGGAGCTGCTAGGACCGTGTGAAGGAGGGCTTCTTTCCCTGTGGCAGTATGATCATTTGATCGGATGTATGAATGGATATGTGATCTGTTCTTTACATAAGCGGACCAAAAGGGAGAGTTTACTGCCCTCGGAACACTATATTGCTTTCGAATTGTTTGTTATGCAAAAGTTTATATATGAGACTATGAAACCATTTTCTCTCCCTCTAACAAAGTGCTGCTGAAAATGAACATCTTTGGCCCCTCTCCTAGAAAATAGTGGTTCCGGCTTTTTGCAAATCACATTTTGACACATGCAAAATTAACTTATTAGAAACGCAACAAAAGTTTTATGTGTGAAAATGTGATTGGCAGATAAGCAGGAATGTCTATTTATATAGCAGATAATGGCCACAAGGAATGAACCTACGAGCATCTAAGTACGTAGCACTAAGTGTTAGTGGTGGAAGCGTTTTAGTTGTTAAATTTAATTTTCACAACTATTATATTTTATTTTGTTTTAGTCATTTCTATTTTGTACCACTCTGGGTACGTATTGTAAAAAAGAAATTGTAAAATAAGATGGATTTAGTCAAGTTGGCTAGAGATTATCATTTGGCAGAGGTCTTTGTATTCAAGTTCGAATCTCCATTGATCGATTTAAATGCATTTATCCTACCATTGTATGTTATGCTAGTGTCTTTTGGCAACCCCATGAGGAAGACTGGAGCTGAAACTCACCAGACGGACGTTGGAGGCCGAGTCCGCCTGAACAATCCTGATCAGCTTCTTCATCAAGCAACACAGCCTAGCCTAGGGACTTTCTTGGGTGCTCCGAAGTACCCAGTATTCTGAGAATTTTAACGATTAGATTTTTAGTTTAAAATACCAAACTAAGATCTAACCGCTAAAATATTGGAAGTACTGGGTACAACCAAAGCACCCATGAATTCCGCGCCTAGCCTAAGTCCTAACCCGATGTGATTTGAAACCTCCCAAGTCCCAAAGCAAAAAAAGTCCTTGGAATTCTTTATTCGTATCGAACAGGATTGTGTACTGTGTAGTGTTCATTTTTCAGTGGGCTTCAAAGAGGTTGGCCCAAATCCATTTTAAAGGGTGAGTTGATACAATAGGAGGAGACCTAGATACCCCAACAATCATAGTTATTTTTTAGGGATCAACTTGGATGTTACGAGTAAAGATAAATTTGAATTACATTATTACTAATACATTGTGAGGCTAAGCCCACATCCTTTCCCATTAATATATATAATATCGTTCGACAAAAAAAAAAAAAAAAAAAAAAAAAACTTGGATGTTACGAGCAACTTTTGCCCTTCGATTCCCCAAAAACTAACCTCTAACCTCTTGTTTTTGTTGGGTAAGTTCAAGCTACTAGTTTCTACTCAATGCGAGCGTAGTTATAATTGTCAGATCGACAAGTTCATCATGAGTTATAATTATCGGATTGACAAGTTCATCGTGAGTTACGACTCATCGCAATCAATTGAGTTGTGTTCCCATCAAAGTACGAATTCGTAAGGAAGATGCACCTAAACCTGGATTTAGTAAAGCATGCATGCTTTCATGGCATTTGAACCTGGATTTAGTAAAGCATGCATGCTTTCATGGCATTTGGATGGTGTGATTGGGTGGGTAGGCCACTTCCATTTTTGTTGCCTTTTCAACCTCAAGCAACTGTCTGAGATCAGAAGTCCCCTCAGTCTCTTTGATCCTCCAAAATCTTATAAACAATGACAGTAGCTGATCATGTGCCACTGCCAGCCAAACCAAAACCCTAGGGAGACAGTACACGGTAACTAGAATAAGGACTTACTGGAACTAGGCTTCCATCCACCGCAACCTCCCGATCTAATAATACAATGTTATGTATGAATTTCTCTCTACAAAACATTGCATTATTAGACTGAAACGCAATGTAATGGTAAACATATTTTATATAAGTTGTTTTCATTAACTAGATGCGGTAAAAAAAAAAACTTAAATTACTCAAAATCAGGATCCATTAATTAATGATGCATCAGTTTTTTTAGGCAGGTTGTGTCCTCCCCCAGCGAGTGTGATACCAAGTGGATGAATAAAACATCACTCGAATTCAAATTGTGTAAATTTTTTTTGTCAATACACTATCAACATGATGCGTATCAATTTGTACACAAAACGACAATTCTGTCTTTGGGGAAAATGTAGGGCTGCAATCCTACGAAATGGTGCTCCAATACCCTACAAACCCACAACTTTATTTTCTCACCATTGTCATTTCCTCTTTTGAAAAATACTAACTTCTCTTTCAAAATGTGATTTTCAACACTCTATTTTCTTATATTTTTTACATAATATTTTATATTATTGACATAGAAGTTTAGTTTAAACGATAAGGTGATAGAGAGTTCATAAAAAATTTCATACTTTTTTGTCTAAAGAAAAACCTTTATTCAAATCAAAAACCTCTAATACATTCCGTTCTAATACAGTCGAAAAAATTCCACTTTTAAGAGCTGTTAGTTCTTTTCCTCTTTTTAAACCAATTTTCAACATGGTAAATACGTGGAGTTACAAACAAAAAAATCCAAGTGTTTTTAGAAAGACGTGTCCTACAAAAGGGCTAGAGCCTAGGACCATGGGCCTAGAGAGAGAGAGAGAGAGAGAGAGAGAGAGAGAGAGGGGGATACTTTGTTTGTTCCTCTCTCTCACGTCTCACCTTCTTTCTCAAACAATGTTGATTTTTGGGGGTTCTTTAACGGAAAATGATGCTCGTCGAATTCTTTTTTTAGGGATCCGGAAGATTATATGTGATTATCGTACATCATGTAGTTAGAAATTATGTTAAATTTAAAATTTAAAATTAAATATAAATAGTATTTAATGAAAACTGATCGCACGATGTACGATAAACGAACATTATTACAAGATCTCCGAATTCCAAAGAGAAGGATCCGGCGATTTTTAACCTCTTTGCAGCGTTGAAAAGCCACCTAAGTGCCCCCCCCAAATACCTTTTCAAAATAAAAAATAAAAAACAATAAAATTTGAAAAAGGATAGAGATTTGCTTCTCTCTCCCTTTCAAAAGAAAAAAGAAAAAAGAAAAAGAGATTTGCTTTATTTTTTTGTTTGGATTCGAATTAGTAGGTTCAAAGTCAAAACACAGAGACAGCCTTGAAGAACATCAGAAGCATCCAGTGGACCTAAATGGTGGTGGTGCTAGTTCCGAACCAATCACGTGAGGACACTTGGAATCCTGCTTCTACCATCCTGTGTATTTGTTAATTGTTAAGTGAATTTAACTCACCAAGCCGTTAATTAAGTGTGCGAGAAATGCTCATGGGCTCTTTTAAAAGTGACGACTTTTCATAGGTTTTGTGCAAGCATACAATTTTAAATTAAGTTTCGTGTCAACATTATAAAAATATTATTTAAAAATAAGAGTTGACAGAAAATTGTGTTTTTGAGAGAGTCTCTTTGACATTTCTATTAAATATGCTCATGCCTTTCATTGGGCATGTTATTAAGGATTCCATAGTGTTGCTGCAACGGGTGATTGGAGGCGATTTGACTCATGTACATTGACATACTAATCGCTCATCGTTTTTTTTTTAACATCAAGAAAACAATTAATCTTAGCTTAAGTAAAGTTCCATTTTTTGAAAAGGAGATCAATTTACTTAAAGAACAGAGTCATAAGAGTTGCTAGTACAGAAGGGATCATACAACAAGGTACGTCTAACCACATGCTAATACAGTCAAAATTAAAAATGCTAAAACAAGTGAATTCTTGTATTCAATTCATAACCTTAAACCCGCAATGACACAAAATACAAAGTGAGTTCTTAACATATACACAAAATACAGAGTGAATTCTTCACACGACCGAATGCTTTTACTTAATGATATTATTTTATTTTACAACAAAGTTGAAGATGTTGGGGACAATATAAGTTCTTTATTAAGTATCTGGCAAGCTCGTACATTATACGATCAAACAAGAATTCACTTGATCAATGTTCTATACTCATGACCGACATTGTTTTGGACGACAACATCTCTCCTTAGATACGTTTAACCTATTAACAAATCGCATTACTCGAACATTATCTAAATAGTGCGTACGTACCGAATAGTCTAAGATCAACCTCACCAGCCGGAAACTATGGAGATCAAGAACCGTGGCCTGTGTTGGTAACCCTTGAATTTAACAAGGTTGAGTTCCCAATAATAACATAAGCAAACAGCCAAATGAAAGCTTAGTTGTATCTTAGTGGCAGAGAGATCATGTTTTTCTATGTCTAACACCATTGTACTTGTAAGATTACTTAATTCAAATTAAATTTGACCAAAAATTATTTATTTATTTATAATCCTTCACACTAACATTATTTAATTTCAGCATGCACGTGGAAAGGCTTAATGCAGAATATAAATTCAGAAAGAAAGAAAAAAAAAAAAAAAACCGAAGTCCCGGCAAACTAGTCGTGTTTTAGGAGTTGGAAAAAGACCCTGGTTATCAGGTCTTTAATTCCTACTTTAATCACAATTAGGAGGGCTGATTGTCTCTACTGAGGACAGGAGTGACTCCCAAGCTGGTGACCTCCACTCAAAGATGTAGTGATGTGGCCATTGTCGAGCTCGGTCTCCATTTCTTAGCAGTTGGTGAAGTGGACTTACACTAAAGTTTGGTTAAACTATTAAGGGATATTATGGTCTCTATAAATCATTTGTTTCTTCTAATCTAATCATTTAATCATTTGGTTAATACCTAATCATTCTTTGCTGATTTCCTTTAATTTCTCCTCCAGATTACAGTTTTAAGGAAAATATATTATGATAAATTATTAGATATGTAAATTGCGATAGTGTGTATATATATAAGTACACTTCCTTGAGCTTGTTTGAACAACCAGTTGCGCGGAGCAGAACCAAATCACAAGTTATTTACAATAGATTATACTGAATGTTTTCTCGTCGTGAGCGCATATATATATGATTTTCACGATTTTCAGCTGTTGATCTATGAGGCACCAATTGAGATTCATTGTCATACACATGACATGAACAAGACTATCACTAGCATTCACCATCCCCATGCATATATCCTCCTCATTTTTTCGAGAGATTTTTTAGTGCGACGGTCATATTGTTCTGTAGTATTATTAACACACATATAATAATATGCATGGATGGATGTCAAAACTGATATTTCGTAGGCCTAATATTTAGAAAATTAATGGGTAAATACATATATATTAAATTATGAATAAATTAGAAACATCACGTGCTCTGTCACAACACAAAAGGGAAAAAAAGTTGAGACATTAGTTGTGTGATCAACATGCAATGTCATTAAATTGAGCACGTTATTGGTGAGCCTTGAAATTATGGGATGGTTACTATGCTACCAA